CAAGTTATATGGTGGGAGTAGGCGTCAATAAATGGTAAGTGAAAAAACAGTCTTTAGAAACTATACGAAAAAGCCCAAAGTGCTAAACATTCTGAAAATCAACTGGTCTATCCTCTTGAAAAATGTCAGTATTGGCCGGACACAGTGGCTCACGTCGGTAATCCTAGCACTTTGAGAGATCAAGGCAGGAGAATCACTTGAGGTCAGGAGTTCGAGATCAGCCTGGCCAACCTGGTGAAACCCCATGTCTACTAAAAATACAAAAGAAAAAAAAAACAAAACAAAACATTAGGTAGGCACAGTAGTAGGTACCTGTAGCACCAACTACTCAGGACGCTGAGGCATCAGAATCCCTTGAGCCTGGGAGGTGGAGATTGCAGTGAGCCAAGATCTTGCCACTGCACTCCAACCTGAGCAACAGAGTAAGACTCTGTCTCAAAAAAAAAAAAAAAAAAAAAATTATCTGGATAACTGGCAAAATCTGAGTATACACTGTATACTGAGTATGCAGTATTAAATCACTGCAGTTTCTCATTGTTAAATTTCCTGAGTTTGATCATTGTGCAGTGATTATCCAGGGAATGACTTTTGCTTTGTTCTGAGGATATACACACACTCAAGTACTTAGGGTAAAGGGCCATAATACCTGAAACTTTATCTGAACAATTCAGCATTAATAACAGTAAACATAATATCTGTAAGTGTGTGTGAGTGTGTGGGTAGCAGGATAAGACAGGGAGGGAAGAGATATGAAACCAATACAGCAAAAACTGTAAACAACTGGTGAATCTAGGTAAAAGGTATTATGAGTTAATTATACTGTTCTTGCAACCTTTCTATAAATTTTATGTCTTGAAAACATATAAAGTAACTTGAAAGAGTATATGACCACTACACTGAATTTAGGAAGACAGGTGTTTTTTTTTTAATTGTGGTAAAAAAAAATACACATAACATAAAATTTACCGTCTTAAATATTAAGTGTTATAGTTCAGTAAGGAGCTATGTCTGCAACGTTACCAGAAACTAGAAACAAACTTTACATAGTTGTTTTCCTATATAACGAAACATTTATTTATTTGCTTGCTTGTTTGTTTATTTATTAGCAATGAGGTCTCACTATGTTTCCCAGGCTGGTCTCGAACCCTAGGCTCAAGTGATCCTCTCACATCAACCACCCAAGTAGCTGGGACTATCATTGCACAGCACCGAGCCCGGTTTGAAACCTTTCTCTTAAATGACAATCTAAGGATAAACCACAGGACTTGTACAATGCCTATATTCAGCCATAGAGTACTAAAAGCAGTGGGCATCAGCTAAGAAATCTGAAGTCTGCAACATGGATAGGATTTCAACTACAATTGCAATGCAAATTTCTGAAGGATTGATTAGCTGAATGGATTTGAAGACTATGCGAAATGTTATAGTCGTGACACCCATTACCTATTGGAGTAAATAGAAGCTTAACTTTGTTAAAATAAAGTTATATTTAGGTCCAAAGGTCCTACATGTAATATTCCATGAATGAATCCCATGTAGAACAAAGCACCAAAAATAACATTATTTGTGAATTACAGCAAATATACTGTCTCACACTGAGATAAAAGTGGGTAGACAGCAATTAATGGGCATTGCTGTCAGTCATATTCTATAAACCTTTAGCAGTGAATCCTTAGAATAACCCATGACCTGAGTTGCATAAATGTGTTGCTTCAAAATATTTTATTTAGAAGGAATTACTTCTATCTCATGTTAATCTCAGGATAATTTCTTTTTATTGTTTGTTTTTTCTAACCATTAAAGGATTTAATAACCTCTTAAAAGCCGCTTAAAGAATCATGCTAGGCCAGGAGCGGTGGCTCACGCCTGTAATCCCAGAACTTTGGGAGGCTGAGGAGGGCAGATCATGAGGTCAGGAGATCAAGACCATCCTGGCTGACACAGTGAACCCCGGTCGCTACTAAAAAAACAAAAAATTACCCAGGCGTGGTAGCACATGCTTGTAATCCCAGCTACTCAGGAGTCTGAGGCAGGAGAATCACTTGAACCTGGGAGG